TACAGTAAAACTGCACATTTTAGAGTGGCCTTTTATTGTGGCCAGCCTAAGGCACACCTGTGCAATAATCATGCTGTCTAATCAGCATCTTGATATGCCACACCTGTGAGGTGGATGGATTATCTCGGCAAAGGAGAAGTGCTCACTAACACAGATTTAGACAGATTTGTGAACAATATTTGAGAGAAATAGGCCTTTTGTGTACATAGAAAAAGTCTTAGATCTTTGAGTTCAGCTCATGAAAAATGGGGGCAAAAACAAAAGTGTTGCGTTTATAATTTTGTTCAGTGTATATTGATAGTAATCGTGTGTGTGTGTGTGTGTGTGTGTGTGATTTGTAATAGATCTAACAGGACATTTTAAGCAATTTTACAGTAAAATACTGTTAAAACAAAAACAAGTAAAAACAAAGTTATCTTATAATTGACTGTGAAAAAATGTTACCATGAAGTACTGTTGTGACTATTTTTTTTAGTTAAATTTCTGGCAACCACAGCTGCTGTCTTTTCTCCCTGTAAACTTCACAGCTTTATTTTTACAGCACATTCTATAAAGTATAATATTTTAAAAATTGCTTGCTCAATGGAAAGAGAGACCTTTTTTTTTTACATACCTCTAGTGCTAATGCACCCACAGAAAGACTATCACATATATACTATGTCAGTGATACTTCTAATGCTGTTCTACAGGCTAAACTCTCTAACTTCTCACCTTTCCTGGTCTTGAAAACCTCTTCAAAAATGCTAGGGTCATCAACCCTGTGTGAAGCCTGCAGCCGGACTGTGTACACAGTTCCTGGGCTGAGCCCTTCAACGAGGTGGAAACATTTAGATGTATTTAAAGCCTCTGAAAGCTGCCAGATACCATCACCTGAAGGAATAACCGCATAACCAGATAGTGTTAGGCCACAGCCCAGCTGAAAGAGGTGATATCTATGATACTGTAAAGAGACACTTTGAAAGGTTAGAAAAGTTGGCAGAGTAAGATTGATAAAAGAGCTGCAAATAAAGATGCACAATGAAAATAGTCAAGAATAAATTTAATTTTCAGTTGGTCTGGATTTTGGGCTGTTTGGAGAGGTTTTTTAGACAGGATGCTACTCTCATTTTACATTCTTAATGTGTTCATTTGGATATCCTAATAGGAAGTGAGTAATTAAATGTCACTGTCATCGTTAAACTTTAAATACTTCATGTATGCACAAGCATGTACATCAGTCAAACAGAGCGCAGAGGAAGAATGAGTAATTATGTAATTAAATTGTTGTTGGACATCAAATTCAGTTTTTAAATAGAGATGTTCAATTTATAGTCCTAAAATGCTTGGGAATTAGCATTTTTGATCTGTGAATTCCCCCTGACATTACTTTCTATAGAACAGAGTAGCTGTTTTTATTTATAAGTAAAATAAGGTCTGCAGTCAAACTTCAAATTTTGAAACTGCTAAATTAACTCTTTTAGTTCATAAATAGCAAATTATTAGGAATTTTCTGTATTAACTGTTCACGGGTATTTTACATGTATTTTGAATTACGCATTTCGTTGTATTTACATGTTTGCACTTAATATATACAGTACACTGTAAAAAATGACCATGATTTTAACGGTAAAAGACCGTAAAAATGCTACAGTAAAAACCTGTTAAATGGTTAACGGTAAATTCCCCTACTATATACAGTGAAAAACTGTATTAGTGACGTGACATGTGGCCAAGTATGGTGACCCATACTTGGAATTAGTGCTCTGCATTTAACCCATCCAAAGTGCACACACACAGCAGTGAACACACACACCGTGAACACACACCTGGAGCAGTGGGCAGCCATTTATGCTGCGGCGCCCGGGGAGCAGTTGGGGTTTCGGTGCCTTGCTCAAGGGCACCTCAGTCGTGGTATTGAAGGTGGGAGAGAGCGCTGTACATTCACTCCCCCCACCTACAATCCCTGCCGGTACGAGACTCGAACCTGCAACCTTTGGGTTACGAGTCCGACTCTCTAACCATTAGGCCACGACTTCCCCCTTTATTGGACATTACATGTAATTTTACGGTAGTATACCGGTTTTGGAAATGAAAATGACTGTATAATTTACAGTGAATAACCATAAATTGACATTTCCAGAATTCCCTGCGTTACATTTAAAATTTGATGTTTTTTTGTTGTTGAAATAACTGTTTCTTAGTTTTTTCTTATCAGTTTTGTATATTAGGGTTGTATGTTACACCTAATGTTGTTAAATTAATGTTTATTGCATTATTTCAGTTTCATGTGTGTTACCATGATGGTGTTTAGTGTTTGTGTGAATGACACCGTGCACCTTCTATATATTTTATTATTTAAAAGCTGCTTGTGATGGGCTTTGGTTCATCATGTGACTTTCTCATCACCACCTGCATTTGGTGGTTATCAGTGTATTACAAAGGTACAAAACAGATTTCAGTACTTCAATAGGTTGGTATATTTACATTATATCAGTTAATAAAATTACGGTATTTAACTGTAAATTTAAGTTAAAACCGTAAAATCTAAAATGTTGCTACCATATTTTTTATGGTAGAATTCCGGCAACCACAGTTGCCGTTTTTTTACCGTAAATTTTACAGATTTTCTTTTACAGTGTACATTATGCATATTTAAATCTGCACATTGATCAAAATGTTGAAAAGCCAATTAATCTAAGAAATCAACAGATTAATCAATTCAAAATAGTTCAAATTGTTTTTAGTTGTAGCCCTCGATGATACTTTCCAAACTTCACTACAAATATGTCTACAATTTACACAAAATTCAATGCTGCAAATATTGGATGCTGACAAATCAGTTTGAGGAGTAAGATCCTTACGGTGATTCATTATGGCAACATAGAGCTGTGAATCAGAACGTTCTCCTCTGGTTCTCCAGCTGATTCTTGCAGAGGTGTCACTTACAAAGGTGGATATGTTGAGCACAACTGAGAGAAATTTATAGAGAAGAAGGTATAGAACAAAATACAGGAAAGACGCTCAAAAGGTTAGTTCCTGCAAAAGAATCCCAGTATACCCATAACCATAGGAAAGTGTTATAGAAATGATATAGTGACAGAAATCTGAATGAAAACTTTGTTAAAGTCAACATGAAACAGCATTTCTATAACATTTCGGAGTAAAAGAGGATATTTATTTGAGATAAAATTGTAGGGCAGGATTTTTTATCAGAACTGACGGATCTCTGTATCAGGGACCAGTGATGTCAATCATAAAAGATTATAATTTTTTTCGAATTAATTGAAAAACGAAATATAAAAATACATATAAAATTAAATTAAATGCAAAAACATGCACTGACATCATTGTCAACAATGTAATAACGGACGTTTTAATTTCATGCTAACTTTAAATGTTAATTTCACTCAGATATGGAGTTATGAAAGTGATTGTTTAGGTAGATGAATGGATGAATACCTAAGGTAGGAAAGGTTGCATTGACAGAAGGAGTGTCTGTATTAGATGAGGTGAAAGAGAAAGGTTGTCCTGCAAGAGAGAGAGAGAGTTCAGACCACATGCATTTCGCTTTAGAATGGACTGCAGCAGTGGAAAACTGTTATGTCCCTATTCAGACTGTCCAGAAAAAAATGCTTCTACGCATCATAAAATCATTATTCACAGCATCAGATCAACATGAACAGGAACTATATAAATAATTAGGATTGTTTATATCAGTTTATATCAACCAGTGGGTTTAAAATGACTAATGGGTCTGATAGGGTCATGGATATCAGGAGGGGAAAAAATGTTAAATGCAAATAATAAAATGCAACTAATCATAGGCAGGACAGCAAAATAAATGGACCTAACAAGGGGAAAGTGCCGTAAAGGCCTGATAGTTGCTAAAGTTTTTTTTTTTTGCAATTTGTACTATAAGTTTACAGCCAGTCTTTACAAAATGAACACCGTTGAGTGATGTATTCCTGTCAGCAGCCAGACTGATTTTGTCAACCCTGATAAAGACAGCATGTTTTTGCAGCCTTTAGCAGGAGTTCAGGGACAGTATTACTGCCTCAGAGGAGCTCTTAAAAAACAAAAGCAAATGCCAACAGCAACCAAGCTCAAGTAAACTTGAACCATCTGTCACTATGAGGATTTTTGATGGAATAGTATGCTCGTTTTGCAGAATGTACACAATTATCTCCTTCACTGAATATAGGCAGGGCCTTTTGGAATTTCAACAACAGCAACAACTGATACTATTTATGTGACTAAAATTAGTGCTACAATTACTGACACTATTACTAGTGTATATGGAGTTATTTTAGACATATTAATGTAGGAGTTAATATACTAATTCATTTTTCAGTTTACAAAAACAGCTACAAATTTGCTGGTACATACTCAAGTCAGATGATGTCACCTCAGATGTCGACAGTTCATCTTAAAAAGACAGTAGAGATACGTAAAAATACAACAATAAATTAATTCAGGTTTTATGTCCTTAAGTTGACATATTATACCGATAAATTAGCTTTAAATTGCATTTATCTGACTGAAAATGCAGATGTCACCGCAAGAGGCATTTGAAATGCTTCAAAATACTACTACTACTACTAAGTAAGCTGCAAAAGGCTATAAACTTCAGTATGTGATACATACAGCTCTCTGTTGACGTTTCAGCTGAGACTGTAGAAACTTCAGGAAATGAATGCTTGGGCATTGTAACTAGTTCATGAGAAACAGAAGTTGGTTGATAAGAAGACAGATCAGGTTAAACAAACCCATGGAGTATGAGAATATGAGCATAACAGAAAGAAATAGGCAATCCGTAACAAAATTGTGGCCTACAGAAAAACTGTGACGATGATGCAATATCAGTAATCCAGTAAGTAAAAACACATCAGTAGGCAATTATTTTTACTAAGCCACCTCATTGATTGGTCAATGTATTGGTCATTACATCCTTTTGTTCATCAGATCATTGTGAGTTTTGCATTTTAGCAATAATCTAATCACTCTCCTTTATGCAATAAGATCTTGCCAACAGCAACTCAGAGTTCCGTAACTGCTGCTTAATCACTTTCGATCACCTTGCGGCTGTGCTAATTAGAGCACAACTAACATAGCTTGTATCAGATGTTTGTGTCTCAGCATGGGCACTTTAATTCAGATTCTGATACCAGTTCCATTATTGCTCTTGGGACTCTGCTTATAGTTGCTTCTGGGCACACTTACACGCTTCAGAGATGGTGCCTCCTTCCTCACTGATGGCTGACCCGCAGCCCACCTGCGTGCATGCGCTCAGGTAGAACTTATACCAGTTGTCATCCTGCAGATCACGCAAGACCCACTGTGTTGTATCTGGTGCATTGATGTTCACAGATTTCAGCTCACCCAGAGTCTCATTAACTACAAGAACAACAAAAAAAATGATTGAGTTTTAAAGTATTTAAAACATTCAAAAGTTTGGGGTCAGGAAGAATTTTTGAAAGAAAGTGACACTTTTATTCTGCAAGGATGCATTAAATTAATCAAAAAAGACATGATATTACAAAAGATTTCTATTTCAAATAAATGCATAGTAGAGTCAAGAAACTTCTGAGTAGCTGATTGGCCCAATCTGCCAATCGATCTCTATTTCCTGTCTATGCAACCTTATATATTACCGTCCAGCACAGTGATAATTTTCTTTAGCCCTCCTCCTCCCCAGCACCACTTCTCTTGATCTGTTATTCTTCCTACTTTACCTCACAGCAGAATTATGTTTTTGCCTATTATATATAGTCTGCCACAATCAATCCTACCTTCTCTCTATTCTCATCAATAAAATGTTGTTAATTTGAGATTCGAGAAAGCATTTCACACTTTCTTTAAGCTTTTAATTTTCCCCTCTCTCTCTCTCTTTGACCTGTTATTATAATTAGAAATCAACAAATCAGCATATCAGAATGATTTCTGAAGGATCATGTGACACTGAAGACTGGAGTAATGATGCTGAAACTTAAAAAAAATACATTTTAAACTATATTACAATAGAAAACAGTTATTCAAAAGTATTATATCACAATATTACTGTTTTTGACTGTATTTTTGTAATATATAAATGCAACCTTGGTGAGCATAAGACCATTCTTATAAAAACATAAAAAATGTTATTGACCCCAAACTTGGAGTATATACATCAGGATATATAGTACAGTTAAACATAGATTATATGAAATTCACTGAGATAGCCGATGTAACGTGAGATAAATCTGTGAGCATCATACCTGTCTGATATTGCAGCAAGTATCCCGTGAGAAAGCCATTGGTTTCATGCGGAGGCGCCCACACCAGCGTGATGGAGTCTTTCTGAAAGTTTGTGGCTCTCAGGATGGGAGGTTGCTCAGGAACTGTGGGAAGATATCAAGCGCTACTGGTCAGTATGTACCTTAAATTAGAAAACTCAAAAACTGTTAGATGCTGTATTTCAGTGCAAAAAACAAACAAACAAAAAACCTGCATATTTATTTGATAAAAACCTACAAATTTAGTTCAACTGCTGAAATAGCATTGCATTTAATTTAATTTAAGTCAATGTCATTCTTTACACACCTCCTTTCTATGTAAATTAGACTTCTTATGTTCAGCAGTACATTTGGGTGAACAACAAAGTGTGTAAAACTCAACTGAATCTACACAAGAACTTAGCAGATGCTCAAACCACTGAATTTTAAAACATGTCTACTATCGAAGTGTTCTTGCCTCCCTGTGGAGTTGTGAAAGAGATGGGACTGCTGCTGGGCCCATTCCCTCTCCGGTTAAAGATGTTGACAGTCAGGCTATATTCAGAGAATGGCTTCAGTCCCGGCACCATGGTGTGACTCCTGTTTCCAGGGATGGTGAGAGACTGTCTCTCTGAGGGAATTCTCTTAGAGTTCAACAGACTTTGTGTTTGCCACCAGTGGACCTGGGAGCAAAAGATGGAAGAAAGAGAAAGAGGGTGTTGATGAGGAGGATATATATATATATATATATATATTTTTTTTTTTTTTTTTTCATGGAAAATAATCCAAGAGTGAAAATAAAGGCTGAAAGATAAAATAAAAGTAATAAGGAAACACACAGTGGAGTCTTTTAAAGGGGTCCTAATATGCTTTTTCACTTTTTCAACTTTAGTTAGTCTGTAATGTTGCTGTTTGAGCATAAAAAAAGATCTGCAAAGTCCATTTCAAAAGGAGATATTTTATTTAACAGAAATCACTTTTCAAAAACTAACGTGATAAAATGTGTCTATATCATGTGTTCGATCATAACTGGCAGTGAAACGGGACTGAATATAAGGAACTTTAAAGGGGTCCTATTTATGCTTTTTCACTTTTTCAACTTTAGTTAGTCTTTAATGTTGCTGTTTGAGCATAAAAAAAGATCTGCAAAGTTACAAAGTTCAAAGTCCACTTCAAAAGGAGACATTTTATCATTTTAGAAATCACTTTTCAAAAACTACAACGAACAACTCGTTTGGACTACAACGTATATTTTCCAGGATTTGTGATAATAACAAATATCGACAAATGGGACGAGACCTGGTTGAGATGCACTAGAGAAGGCAATGTGTGTTATCACTATGTCGGAGACACGCTAGCTTTCCCAAGGCAGACTAACTTAGAGTGGTTACAATCATCCGGGTTTAAATCACGCTAAAATTGATTTGATATTGACGCAATATTTACACTGAAGCTCGCAGCAGGTGGAGAGCATAATAGGACCCCTTTAAATGCTATAAACAGCTTGTTTGTTGCTAAATGACCATCAGCTTTTGTCCAGTACCACAGGACCTCTGAACTGAAGGAGTCAGGAACTCACAGTGTATCCTCCAAGATGGCCCCTCAGGGCGGTTTGGGGCACCGGTGACCAGCTGACCCTCAGCAGTGTAGAGTTCAACACCTCCACAGATATGTCTTCAGGAGCCGCCAAGGGCACTGGAAAGGGCAACAGAATGCAGATCTGTTTACGGCTAAACTTTCCCAACTGATGCAAGAGGGTTACAGCTCACAAATTCACACATACACAACCATTTCCTCAAGCAACTAAAGCTGCCAAGGAAAAAGATGAATTGTAATTAGATGACACACTGACTGTTTCCAGGAAAAGCGCACATGCTAACATGAAGCTATTCACAGACACATGTAGATATATGGGAAAGGCTCTTTCAGGGATGCAAACTCATCAGGGAGAAAAAAGTGACAAAGATGTAACCCCCATTAGCTTTAAAATGTGGATTTACAGTCAATTTGAGCATGAGGATAGTGAAAAACTCACCCTAGACTATTTTGTTACTTAAGTTGTCTCACATTCACACTGTTTTTATTGAAGCCATTCACTATTACTATACAATAATAATAATAATAGTAATCCCTTTAGGAGTAAAGAAGGTACAAAGGTGTCCCTTTGAGGGTGCTGCCCCAATGACAAGCTGTTGTACCCCTAATGGTACAATTTTTTGCACATTTCTTTCTGAGAGTATTTTGGATTCAAAACAGCAATTATCATTGAAAAGTGTCAAGTTTGCATCCCTGCTCTTTGCAACAACTGCATGAAAACTGTCAAGATCTACCTACGGCTAAAGAAGCCATGTTTCTGTATATCTACAGTGATGCAGGAATAGCAGGGACAAAAGCAGCCCAACCTGTTGCATCATCCTCAAGACAATGCCAAATGTCAACTAGAGACAAGGGTATGAGATGGAAAAATATGAAAATGGAATAAAACAAAAGATAATCGCATAAGTGCTTGGCAAACAATGTGTCTGATCCCAAAGAGCACAACGCAAAAGCTCAGCAGAAATGACTGATCCTGGTAAGGAGTGGATTAAACCACTCTCCCAACTAATCTCCTAATCTTAAGTGTTTATTTTTGGCTAATCGCGGCAGTGTCACACGACTGTGAGATGAACGCATTAACATGCTGTTTGACTCACAGTCTTCCCCGGAATAACCAGTCACCACTCTGGGTTCTGGTGCCCAACCGTGGCTGTTGAAGGCCTGGATCTTGACCTCGTAAGGGACGAATGTTTGGGTGTCTCGCACCACAAATGAGTGTCTCTTCATCATCTGTTCTTTCCAACTGTCCTCGACACCCAGGAGCCTGTAACTCAGTTTGTATTCCAGACCGGGACCGTTGTGCTCCACAGGCAAGAGCGGCTAGTGATTAAAAGGAAAAGTGGGTCAGTGCACTGCAAACATTACTGAGCATTTGGAAAGAATGGAAGAGTTCGAGAGACATTTGCTGGTGGGTTTGCGAAATCTGGCGTGGGAACCTAGTTTCTGGGGTGCCTCACTTGGCTTTCTTTCAGACTTTCAATCTGAAGGAATTGTGACTCATAAATAGAGCATAATTTGGCTCATATACTTGACTGCCAGTGCAAATTAAGTTGTTACTGCTTTAAAACTACAAGACACCCGACTTCTTAGGAGCTCCAGGAGCATTTAGCTCCCAAGCCTCCTTGCGCGAGGGTATTTGCCTTTTTCTTGCTTCCAAGCCATGCAAATATGCACATGCATTAAGGTTGTTTGACAATGCTGTTTGCATTTTATTACCTCCCAGCTGATGTCCATCTGATGTGGCAGGTGACCCTCAATCTTAATGTTTTCTGGGTTCCTGTCGGGGGCTGTACAAATGTGAATATGAATTATTTAACATCTGTCTCAGTCAATAATACTATTGCCCTCTAACACTGCCAATGTGTATCACACATTATGACGAGCATGCAGTCATTGATAGTCAGAGACAGCGCTCGCTTAAAAAAGAATTAAAATTTATGGAGCTTTTATAGACATCTGTATAATTTTCTCAGGGTAAATCCCCACAAAGACATGCTTCAAACAAGTCCAAGGTGAACCAAGGACAGGCTAGACATTGGATGATAACATGTTACGAAAGCAAGTTGTCAAGGATCACAGGTATCCCTACCGCAAGGAGGTGTCTTATATCTTTTGGAGGGCATGCTGGGATGGCTTCTTCCGATAGCATTGACAGCGATGACTCTGAACTGGTAGTTAATGTGGCCGTAGAGCGTCAAGGGGGCTGAGAACTGGCTGCCTGCAACTCGTATAATCTCCTTCCACTTCTCCGGCTCCCAGTGGTTCTCTTCATACTGGATGATGAACTCTAGTCATAGGAACAGAGCACAGAGGTCATTGAATATGCTGAGCGCACACTCTCGATACACTGTGGTGCGGCCCCAGTGGGAGCCTTCTTGAAATATTGTAGAGCAATGTTTGAGAACGAGCAAGGTCCATGAAAACGACTTCAGAGGAATCTGCTTAAAGCAAAAGCCAGCTTCAGAAGCACTGAAAATGTGTACAATTACATATGAAGGCAATGCTAATGGAACAGTTTTGCATTTGTTCTGTAACCCTGACAGCACAGTACATTTGTAGTGTAGTTTTACCTGTTATGGGACTGTTATGATCACTGGCAGCCACCCACTGGAGCCTCACACTGCGGTCTTTCAGCTCAGAGAGCGTCAGTTGAACCGGTGGAGCTGGAACATCTGTGTCACATTTCAGACACAAACACCATAAACAAGCTACTTATCATAAAAACGTTTTAAGACCATTCATAAGAGAACCAGAATCGCTTAAAGAAATAACTGGTGCAATAATGATCACAAAGTCTACACATCTTTTCCACCTATGTTTTGTGTTTTCTGTACAATCTTTTGCGGAGATTGCTGCACTATTATTTGAATATTTTTCCAAGCAGGTCTATTATTGTGGTATTCAAGTAATATATAAACATAACACCACAATCTAGTTGGCATTCATTCTGGTCTCAAAAGGTCTTTCAACCGTACCTAACACAGTTATGTATGCAGAAGCTGTATCTTGGTCCAGTGATGTTCGAACAACACAGGTATAATTCCCTTGATCACTGTGGCTCACATTGACAATCTGGAGAATTCCATCATCTGTGAAATATCTGCAAATAACCCAAAATAGGTACAATATAAAATAATAGTTAGATGGTAGTTGATTGATAACAAAATGCTGTCAAATTAAAATTCATGAATTCCTAAATGAGACATCAGACCCACAAATACATTGTTCATGTAGTAGTTCCAAGTCTCTAAATGGCTTTCACAATGTTCAAAGGATCTTACATCGTTTCAAAAGCAATGAAATAAGCAATGTGCATTTCCAGGAATATTTATTGTAGCTTTCTATGTTGGCAGCAATAGTCAATGGTAAAACAAGGCAAGAAACAATGAGTCATTGACAAATAAGAGTGTCCAGGATGGAGAAAAATCACATCTTAAAAATCTAGTTGAAAAATATGTGCCAAGTTCTTAGAAATGTATTCTTCTCTTTCATGTGGTTCTAAAACGTTTACTCCATTTTCAACTACATTAATAAATGGAATGCCTCTAAAATGTGATGTAACCAAGTATAAATTGAAGTATAAATTAATAAAATATTTTCCTTACACCTTGAATATGAGTGTACATATCTCAAACATTGTTTTCAATGTAATCAGTATTGTTTTAATAAGTATTATGAATTATTAATTAATAAATCATTATTAGGTTTTGCGGGAGTCACACCACATGACTACAACCTACATTCTACAACTGATCTAACCTTCTTTTTTTCATCATAAAAGGTAAAAAAAACCTGATATTTTACGAGTCTTATTGACATTGAATCACGGATAAACTTCAAAGCAAACTGCAGAGCAATCAGTTCCCACAAAATACAAATTTTCAGGCAGACCGGAAAAAAATAAAGTGGCTGAAGTTGCTATGCAGCTTGATAAAAATAGAAACCAGGTATCCGTCAAATGAAACAACCACTTATAGTGCAGACAGCTCCATTGATTATAATGGAAGTGATCTAGTTTGTTTCAGGATGGTATAGATACATCGTCAGAGGCGGCTCTGTGGCTTTTGTTGTGTTGGAAATGCCAAATAAAAGCTGCATTAAATGTTGTCATGACAATCAATGCACAGCTCTTTTATGTTTGCTGTGTTTTTGTCTCCAATTTTTTATAATTAATAAAAAAATGATTTGCGGTTCGACTGGAACTAATCTGCAGTGTGGATCTGAATCATGGCCTGCTAATTGGTGACCTGAGGTAAAGATGCAAACATAATTTGTCTGGAAGCAAATAACTAACAGTCACAACAACAAAACATGGCACAGTATTACACTGCATTTACACAGAAGATCCTGTTGGGCCTCATGCTCCAGCCAGCAGAAAAGAAGTTAAAGCTCCTGCTCATTAGCTGGAGTAGCTTTTGATTTTCAAGAGAGACATTTCGCCCATAAGAGCTTACTATTACTGATAAAAGCTTACAATTACATCTAGCTCGGCTCTGTTACATGACTACAAAGTGTAAGTACTTAATCCATGATTCCTGCACTGATAAAACTATAACTAAAATGTCTGCACTACAAAACTGTCATAGCTCGTGCTAATCCTTTCTGTTTTGACAGCACAACCTTTCTAAAAGAAGGATTTGCTTAAATGGAGAATTGCTTCGATGAATTCAAAGCTGAACCACTGAGGAAAATCTATCTTATCCTACTACTCATAGAAAACAGTTCACCCACCCTTCAGAGAAGTTTGAGAGGATATTCATCCCATCTTTCATCCACAAGATCTCCAGCTCTCTTCTGAGGGTGGGATCGCACTCCACCTGGCACTCCAGCTCTGCCATTGATCCTCTTTTGACCTTCATGTCTTGAGGTGGTTCTACGATCCTCGTTGAATCTATCAAAAGCAGACCTTTAGTTTCAATAATGACCAGGAAGCAGAAAGCTTTTTGATTAAGGAAGGTGGCTAACCTTTAATGAAAAGTTCAGTGGTGAGGCTCATGGTGCCTTCGGAGCTGTTTGCCAAACATTTGTACTGGCCCATATCTTCCATCTCGACTTTGTGAATCTGCAGGGAGCCATTCTTCAGGAGAGAATATCTCTCTCCATCTAGAGAGCCCTCTGGGTCTTCTCTTCTCCTACAACACAAACATTGAACCCTTCACAGTTCTTCTGAAACAGAGGCCCACGGGAAGGACCTTTACTGAAATGACTACAGATGCTCTGTTGATAAAACCGAATCCAATGTAGCCTAGTTTTTTTTTTTTACCATGACTTTGAAAATTGACCAAAGGTTTTTGAAAGGAAACTTTTCAAAGAAGAAAACAGCATAAATTAGTGCAAAAGGAGGATCCCCTAGAGAGAACAGACATTTCAAAAGGGCTATAGATCTTGCAGTGTCTTTTCTCAATGTTTTGTCCCTTTTCCTTCACTTAATTCACTTGACCCTACTGGGTCTGTATTGCTATTATTAGGCACTCTGTGTCCAACAACTATCATTCACCCATAGTCTGAAGAGCAGCTACAGTAAAACCACGCTAAAATCCCTACTAAAATCATTTAGCATATTTCTAGCAAAATCTTAATTATAATGTCATTTAAGAAATATATTTGAAGGATGTTTAACTAGATGTACTGGACAATAATACAGACAACAAAAACTATTTTTTTTTTATTTATTTTAATTTTTTTTTGCAGTGAAGACCAATTTAGGCCAGCATGAATGTCCATTGCTGGTCATCCTAATCAAAAAACTATTTTTTTTTAGCCTTGTAGACAGTTATATAGAAATCATTTCATTTATTAAAACAGAATGGATATGAAAAGGGGCGTGACAGTCATTATCATTAAGTGATGGTAACATTAGCCCCTCCTACCTTTTTGTAGATTTTCCGTATGCATTATCTTTTTGATTTTATTTAAATAATCATATTTTCAAAAAATATTTATTAAAATTCCTTAGAATCATTATAAATCTGTGTGAAAACTTTAGCATTTAATTAAATAATTACTTTACATTTATAGATGTATTAAATTTTTTTTTTTTTTTTTTAAATATAAACATGGATTAAATATGGTTAGCTGGGGTACAAGCAAGATTCAGTTTACATTTATGAAATTAGTTTACATACACATTTTTATATATCATTTGTTCATGATAAATGTACACCTGGTTACTGTGCATTTAAAACACATTCAGTTTATTTCAGTTATGTATAACAAATATGCATCACATTATGTTTACTAGGTTATGTTAAACCTGAATCCAAATCGATTAAATTGTTATATGCATTTAATACATAAATCTTAAATATAGGCCTAAGTATTTTTTTAATTGATGGATAGGTACCATACAGTAACACTTAATTAACACTCATACACCGTGTCCTAACCAGGTGTGATGTGACAAGAAATTGAATGTGAAAATGGTCAAACAGCTCAAAACAGCCAATCAGAGATCGCACTCCACCTGGCACTCCAGCTCTGCCATTGATCCTCTTTTGACCTTCATGTCTTGAGGTGGTTCTACGATCCTCGTTGAATCTATCAAAAGCAGACCTTTAGTTTCAATAATGACCAGGAAGCAGAAAGCTTTTTGATTAAGGAAGGTGGCTAACCTTTAATGAAAAGTTCAGTGGTGAGGCTCATGGTGCCTTCGGAGCTGTTTGCCAAACATTTGTACTGGCCCATATCTTCCATCTCGACTTTGTGAATCTGCAGGGAGCCATTCTTCAGGAGAGAATATCTCTCTCCATCTAGAGAGCCCTCTGGGTCTTCTCTTCTCCTACAACACAAACATTGAACCCTTCACAGTTCTTCTGAAACAGAGGCCCACGGGAAGGACCTTTACTGAAATGACTACAGATGCTCTGTTGATAAAACCGAATCCAATGTAGCCTAGTTTTTTTTTTTTACCATGACTTTGAAAATTGACCAAAGGTTTTTGAAAGGAAACTTTTCAAAGAAGAAAACAGCATAAATTAGTGCAAAAGGAGGATCCCCTAGAGAGAACAGACATTTCAAAAGGGCTATAGATCTTGCAGTGTCTTTTCTCAATGTTTTGTCCCTTTTCCTTCACTTAATTCACTTGACCCTACTGGGTCTGTATTGCTATTATTAGGCACTCTGTGTCCAACAACTATCATTCACCCATAGTCTGAAGAGCAGCTACAGTAAAACCACGCTAAAATCCCTACTAAAATCATTTAGCATATTTCTAGCAAAATCTTAATTATAATGTCATTTAAGAAATATATTTGAAGGATGTTTAACTAGATGTACTGGACAATAATACAGACAACAAAAACTATTTTTTTTTTATTTATTTTAATTTTTTTTTGCAGTGAAGACCAATTTAGGCCAGCATGAATGTCCATTGCTGGTCATCCTAATCAAAAAACTATTTTTTTTTAGCCTTGTAGACAGTTATATAGAAATCATTTCATTTATTAAAACAGAATGGATATGAAAAGGGGCGTGACAGTCATTATCATTAAGTGATGGTAACATTAGCCCCTCCTACCTTTTTGTAGATTTTCCGTATGCATTATCTTTTTGATTTTATTTAAATAATCATATTTTCAAAAAATATTTATTAAAATTCCTTAGAATCATTATAAATCTGTGTGAAAACTTTAGCATTTAATTAAATAATTACTTTACATTTATAGATGTATTAAATTTTTTTTTTTTTTTTTTAAATATGAACATGGATTAAATATGGTTAGCTGGGGTACAAGCAAGATTCAGTTTACATTTATGAAATTAGTTTACATACACATTTTTATATATCATTTGTTCATGATAAATGTACACCTGGTTACTGTGCATTTAAAACACATTCAGTTTATTTCAGTTATGTATAACAAATATGCATCACATTATGTTTACTAGGTTATGTTAAACCTGAATCCAAATCGATTAAATTGTTATATGCATTTAATACATAAATCTTAAATATAGGCCTAAGTATTTTTTTAATTGATGGATAGGTACCATACAGTAACACTTAATTAACACTCATACACCGTGTCCTAACCAGGTGTGATGTGACAAGAAATTGAATGTGAAAATGGTCAAACAGCTCAAAACAGCCAATCAGAGGCACTATCTCTGTTTGCACGCTTTTTCACATGCACACCGCACTGGGCTGAAGAGCGTAAAACTACATACAGTATCTTGTATTTTCATGACTTCTTCACTGGACAGCGTGGCATATTTCCATAATTAGTCTATCCTTGTCCAAGTTTGATGTTTAATATACATGAATGCGTTACTTCAGTCCAATGAGATTTTAGTGTGTACAGATAAAGAAACCAAGGGACCAACAAAATGTAGCGTCGCGGTTGGTTGAGACAAACTCTGATTAACAGAACAGAAACACCTCACTTGTGACTTATCATGTTGCGTCTGGTTAGGACACGGTGTTAAAATCACAACACTTGTTACCAAACTCACCAGTTAATGGTGGCAGGTGGTGAGCTAAAGACTCTGCAGTCCATAATCACACTCTTGCCTAACATGGTTGCGTACTCCAGATAATTCTGCGTCAGAATCAAAGGGGGATGATCTGAGAGAAAGCCAGACCATTAGTCAAAACATTCGTGCAGACAGACAAACATCAAACAGCCAGTGCGGCATATGGCTCACTTTCTGCGGTGTAGTTTGAAACCAAGGCACACTCCCGAAATCACAATTAAACTGTAAAAAAGCTATTAGCATATAAAAGAGCTCTTTTCTTCTGCCAGCTATAAACAGAAAACAGTGACCGAAGTAGTTCATAGATGCACACTCATGCACACGTTTCATGTTTTCTTCTACAACAATTACGAATGAACAGCTGCTGAAACCCTTAAGCCATTATATGTCAGCAAGAGTATCATATCATAATCAAAAGCAAGAAAACTTCAACGAGGACCACAATCCTCTCTTCTGATGCTATGATTAATTGATACATGTAAAATAGGGGGGTTGTGCGCATCAGAAGCGCTGACCTATTATTGTGCTCTGAAAATCACAATATGATATTCATCTTCTTTCCTATTTACACAGGTAAGTGAAGTACTCACTCATGACAAGCACATTAGCATTGACAAGTAGGGTCCCATGTCTGTTGGAGGCCTCACACTGGTACACTGCAGTGTCTCTCTGCTCCGCTCTGAGGATGATTATTCTGTCATCAAGCACTTTGTAATTGGTAGAAGGAAAATCTGGGGAGAAAACAAGCTTGAATTGGCACCCAAAGTGTTTAGGAGAGACTGGGGCTAGTTGTCAACTTGTCACATGAGCTTATACACTACCGTTCAAAAGTTTGGGGTCGGTAAGGTTTGTAATGTATTTGAATAGTCTTTTTTGCTCACCAAGGCTGCATTTATTTGACCAAAAATACAGTAAAAACTGTAATATTGTGAAATATTTTTACAATTTAAAAAAACTGTTTTATATTTGAATATGTTTTAAATTGTAATTTATTCCTGTGACGCAAAGCTGAATTTTCAGCATCGTTAATCCAGTCTTCAGTGTCACATGATCCTTGAGAAATCAATCTAATATACTGATTTGATGATCAAGAAACATTACTTATTATTATCAATGAAAACAGTTGTACTATCTAACACTTTTTCAGGATTCTTTTGATGAATAAGAATAACATCAATATGTACTGTACTGTCGCTTTTGATCAATTTATAAATTAATTTTAAATATTAGTATCTAATAAAAATTTATCTGAACATGTGACAACATGGATTGTTATTAATCACAAAAATGAAAACATTTTAGGGGCAATAACAGTGGAAATGTGCAATAGCCAAAACTAGAAATGATGCATCTATACACAAATTTACTTTCAAAAATAAACCCACTCTGAAAAAAATTGAGTAAAAAAATTGATACAGCTAGCCCCTGTCTATATTGTAAAATTTCACATCATTATAGCAGCATTAAACCTGTGAGGTACATACTTGGAAGATACATCATTGACTTTTTTTCATCTACTGTTGATATATAATTTTACCAAGGCATGTAAATTGTGCACAAATACAGAGGTGGCCACAAATCCACTGCTGTTTACCAAGTCTAAATGATGAGAAAACCCAGAAAGGAACAACAGACTGTTCTCAAAGCCAGTAATTGCACATTTGGCAGTGGCTTTGAGCCGACAAATTCAGTCAAATGGGCATGATAAGGGTGGGAGAGGAGGGGGTTTAACACACCATCAAGAGGCTGGCCATTTCTCTTCCAGGTGATTGTGGGTTGTGGTTTTCCTCTAGCAGAACACTTGATGTGGATGTCAGATCCAATCTCTGCTAACTGACTCTTCACTGGCTCCTCCTGCCAGCTAGGCGGCTCTGAGACACACAACATATGAATACGGATTAAAGCAACTTCCTATCTAGAGCAATACTGCCCCCCTGTGTTTGTAAGTGACATGATTTTCAATTTTGTATTTGGTCATTCAGAATACGGCATTAATATGCGTTTCATAAGTACTAAATAAACAGCCAATATGCTAGCAATATGCATGCTAGTTAATAGTGAGAATTATATATACGATTCATATAAAATACCTGAAATAGACTATATATTTATAGACTTCTTTTGTGGTTTGTGATTGTGAATACTGGACAATGATATTTCAAGTAATTTTACAGAGACCGAACTAAACCAGAGCCATTTTTTTTTCCAGCTACCGGAAATTACAAATTGAAAATTCCCTGGCATTTCCCAAATATTCACAAATCTATTTGAAAACACTTTACAATAAGTTCCAATAATTAACCTTAGTTAATGCATTAACTAAAATGATCTAACAATGAGCAATATATTCGTCACAGTATTTATAATCCTTCTTAATGTTAGTTATTGAAAATGTTTGTTGTTAGCCCATGTTATCTCAGGTCATTAAATAATACTGACGTACAACTTTTGATCTGAATAATTATCAGTACATTTTGAAATTAATATTAAGTAAGATTAATAATATGCTTTAGAAGTATATTTCATTGTTAGTTCATGTAGTTAACTAATGTTAACAAGCAAAACCTTACCGTAAACTGTTACCAATTACTCTTGTCAAACAGATTTACTGACTAAAATAACTGGGAATCGTCAAAAAAACAAATAACTAATACAATTGGGACTTAAGACCTTTTAAATGTTTGCATACCCTCCACAACAACTTGGAAATGATGCTCAGCTTCACCAAGATCATTCTTGGCTTTGCACATGTATGTCCCTTCAACCTGATCTGTGACGTTTGATATAGTCAGAAGCTTTCCATAGTTCTTGATTTGTGTACGGGTTGGTAAATTTTCCAACATCTTGATCCATTCTACCCCCGGTGTAGGCCTGAGAAAAGACCAAAATAAACCGCTGTCACTCTCTCTGTCAGTGGAAATGCTTTGCTGCAATGTCGTGTTTGTAAACCCAACATGGCCATAGAGAAGTGAACTCACAGTCCTTCTGCGATACACTCCAGCTCCAGCTCTTCTCCTTTTTTTATGTATGTCGTTGAATGACTGGAGGGCACCAAAATGCTCGGCTTCCTCTTCTGAACTGAACGGGGACAAATGATTGGAAAATCGCCACAACATGGATAAAAAAGAAACCTACGTTCATATCTGAACAAGAATAATTTAAGGTCCGAAAAACAATTTAAAATATATTCTCAGAGACCAGATCATCTCACACAATTTTGTAAAGTGACAGAAGTTTTTGTCACATTTTAATGACTCTTATAACATCACACAGCTCAAGCTGAAGAAAAATTCAGTCTGAACTCCAGAAATAGCTGACAAACTAGCAAGTGCTAAAGCCCAACAAACTTTATCTTGAAAAAAAGCCCTTACATAAGGATCATTGCAAGAAAAGCCACAAAAAAAGATAAGTAAAGGTTTTTTTTGTGTGTGCATATTTGATACACAGCACATTTGATAAAATATGTTACTCACCACTTGTGATGTCATCATCCCCCTGGCCTAAATAAAAAAAAAGTAATAATAATAATAAATTGGAAGAATTGTTTGAATTTTCAGCATATTTCATTAGTAATAAAAAGCATATACACAATACATATGTAGCATATATACAATACATATAAATGCTATGTACCTGTACAAAGGATAGGTCAGGGTGGAAGATTTTTTTTAATGTTAATTTTTTATATCATTATTATTATTATCACTATTATTATTATTTTAATAACATGAACTGATAAATCATAATAAGACCAGGAATGTTTAAGAAAGTAAAGAGGGTCATGCTGACTTTAAAAAGGATTACATTAGAGACAGTTACTGTTAAATTATTAGCATGATAAAGCACAGCATGCTGACAATACACTTAAACCAAACCGCATCCAATTTAATGTATTGCCACATTAACAATTACTGAAAACCATTTTAAAAATGTAACTGTTAATGTATGTATACTTTGTTCAGCTTTTGTTGTGCATCTCAGTTGTGAAAATATGTATATAAACACAATACAAACTACAATTCATTTTGAACTGTTTGGGGTCAGTAAGATTTTTTAAAGAAATTAATACTTTTATTCAGAAAGGATGCATTCAGTTGATCAAAAGTGAAAGTAAATACATTTTAATGTTGTATGAATGATGTTCTTTTGAATCCTGAAAAAAATGTGTCAAGCTTTCCAAAGAAACATGAAGCAGTTTTAAACACTGATAATAATAATAATAATAAATGTTCCCTTTCAGTCAGTCACGTTCGACGTTACGTCAGTCGTGACTGACGAATTGGGATCTCGCCCGAGAGCCCAATCACCTTCGAGTGTTAACTAAACAAGCCAAAGACAGTTGGCGTGCGTGTTTCGCCACGCGCACCCCGCCCCGCAGCGCGGGTATAAAAGGAGAGCACGTGCAAACACACATCAGCTTTTCGCTTCGGAGCCGAGCCTTCTACTAGGATGAATCTCCGCGAGTGTCTGCAAAGAAACAACCTAGCGTTGGTGTTACAGCGCGTCAGCGGGGGTTGCCATTCAGTGCTGCTCATCTTCGGCGTGCTGCAGCTGCCATTCTGCGGTCTCGCCGCGACCTCCCCTGGGCGCTTCAGCGCTCTCTCTAAAAGAGTGTTTCCTTTTTTCCTAAAAGAGCAAATATCTAAAAGAGCTCCACAAGCGACGGGCGTCTTTTTAAAGATGGCTTCCCGCTCGTGCGTTTCTGGATGTGGTCGTTTCCTGGCTTCATCTGATGGTCATGATCGCTGTGTCTCGTGCCTGGGCTTACAGCACGCTGAAGCAGCGCTCATGGATGAGTCATGTTCTCAGCACTCGTGTGCATGCCCAAGGTCAGCCCTTGTGCTGGGCTAGGTGCCCGTGTGTAGTGATTCCCCCTTCGGGTGATCCCACATATGTATTCTTCCACGGTACGGCTCCCCTCACGGTAAGCCCGTGTCTTTCCCTGGCAGTCGTTCGCTGCCATCTCTGCTGTGTAGTTATCTCACCCCAGGCGGGTTGAGTCTACCGCAGGGACTTCCATATGTAGCACTGCCCTGGGCCAGTCCATATGTGTAATTCCACATGATACCTCCTATGTGCAGGATGTGGCTTCCGTAGCGTCCCAACTGGGTACGCTTTCCCAGTGTTATCCAATGTACCACTGTATGGAACAGCAGTGGCGGACACCTCTGCCTAGCCGCTGTCCTATCTTCCGCCCCAGCTGGTGTGAGGGGACTTGCCGGCTTCCGCAGGGCACTGGAGGGGGTCAGGTTTCGCGTGGCGAAACACGCACGCCAACTGTCATTGGCTTGTTTAGTTAACACTCAAAGGTGATTGGGCTCTCGGGCGAGATCCCAATTCGTCAGTCACGACTGACGTAACGTCTCCGTTCCCTCCTTCAGGGAACGAGGGTTACACAAGTAACCTAGACGTTTCTTAAGCAGCAAATCAGCATATTAGAATGATTTCCGAAGGCTCATGTGACACTGAAGACTGGAGTAATAATGCTGAAAATTCAGCTTTGCATCACAAGAATAAACTACATTTTAAAATACATTCAAAAATAAATCAGTTATTTAAAATTATTTAAATATTTCACAATATTACTGTTTTTACCGTATTTTTGATCAAATAAATGAAGCCTTGGTGAGCATGAGAGACTTCTTTCAAAAGCACTGAAAAATCTTACTGACCCCAAATCTTTGAATGGTAGTGTATAAACCTTTTTTTCTATTTCATTTCCTTTAAAACATATCATGAGATTCTTGCCACATACTTGGCTTGACCCTCAGGACCAAGCGTGGTTTCTGAACGATTGTGCGTATCCTGGAAAAGGAGGCAAAACAGCAGTAGTCATCGCGGCTATCTGACACCAGTGTATTAGAGAAGTACAGATTCCCATTGAGGCCCATGGACACCCTCTCATTCTGCTCAATGTGTCGAAGATCTGAGAACAATACAGAGAGGAGGGTTAGATTAACATGAGCAACAGGACATCGGAGAGGGCAAGCAGCCAAACCGCCCAGAAACAGTCCCATCTGACAGACTGCACAGTAGATAACAGGTATCATGGGTAGAGCTTTGAATGCTCAGACATTCTTGTTCCTTACATGAAGTGTAGGTGGCTCAACATGATTAAGTCGCCTCTTCAGTTCAAGAAGAGAAGACATGTACAATAATAGCACTAAACATTTTTAATCAAGCGTCTTGTTTTCCAGAAGAAAATATCTAAAACAAGGTACACTGAAGAAAAGAAGAAAAATTACATGTATTAAAAAGTATTTCCTTCAGAGAAAGTTAATGAAAGGTTCATGCTTATAACAAGAAAAAAAATCCAGTAATTCATGTTTATTTTTCTTACCCTCACTAAACTTAAACCTGATTATATTTTATTAGATTAAATCTCTGAAATCTAATATTTCTTATGTTGTTTTAATGTTTAGATTTATTTATTTATCTATTTATTTTGGAAAACAAGACAAAAAGTAAGAGCTTTTTTTCAGTAAATGTCTAATAATTAATATAAATTAAAGGGATGGGTCACCCAAAAAAAACGAAAATTGTGTCATCACTTAGGCACCAAGTTGCTCCAAACCTTCATGAATTTCTTTCTTTTGCTGTACATGAAAGATTATATTTATAAGACTGTGAGTAATCAAACAGTTGCTGTTCCTCATTGACTTCCATAGTATTTTACTATTTTATTTTTTTCTCCATACTATTGAAGTGGATGTAACTACTTGGTTACCAACATTCTTCAAAATATCTTCTTTTATGTTAAACAGAAGAAATAAACTCATACAGGTTTGGAACAAAATGAGGGTGAGTAAGTAATGACACAATTTTTATTTTTGGGTGAACTATCACTTTAATGCAACATAATCTCATGAGAATTTGTATGTATTTTACATAAAATGTGGTTTTACAAAACACTTACGTTTGCACAGACACTGAAACATACCCATGCTGACCCGCTCATTACAAATTCAAAAATTGCAGCTTCAGGAAACGTTACGACAGGTTTTACGGCAGAAAAATCATTCCAAATATCGATTAACATCTTAAATTCCACACTGTACCTCACACAAAGCTATTGTATTCCATCAGAGAGGACTTCGACTGTCTTGTGAACATTACGTAATGATACCTAACTTATGTATAAACAATGAGACCAGGCTGTTTAAAGGGGTCATATGATGCTTTTTTAAAGATCATTATTTTGTGTATTTGGTGTAACAGAATATGTTGACATGCTTTAATGTTCAAAAAACACATTCTTTTTCAAATACTGTACATTACTGTAGGTTCTCTATGCCCCGCCTCTCTCAAACGCTTCGTTTTCTACAGTGTCCCTCCTTCCGACAAGTGCAGTCTGCTCTGATTGGCCAGCTGACCCAGTGCATTGTGATTGGCCGAACACCGCAAGCACTCGTCGGAAATGTAACACCCCTTACCATAATCGCGAGCTTCATCTTTCAAAATAAATGTAAAGACAGTAAATAATGTCATTAGTTTTTGAAATCGCATCATATGACCCCTTTAATAACAATAAATAAAAAATAAAAAAAAACATTTCGAAATCAAAATTCTCACTTCAGAAATATGCATATTATTGGGCCTATATGCATATGATGGCATTTTTAATTATTTAATATTTAGTTTTAATGATATTATGTTTAAAGTTTTGTTCTGTGTTCAGGTGTGAGCATTTGAGATTGACTGATCTATTGTTTTACTGGCTTGACTGAAAGAATCAAATTCTTCAAATGTCACATATTCCCAGCATTCTTTACAAATTGCAACATGTAACATTTATCATCAAAAGCCTATTATTAGCAGAGGCGGTAAAACTCCAGTCTGACGCCAGAAACGATAGTTCCTCTTCAGGAACTCGAGCTGCGTCGGAAAACGCTAGGGGAACGCTTTCTGCGACCCATGCTCTGAATCACATGTGAAATCAGTCCAATAGCTGAGCGGGACGTCACGGGCAGGTGACGTCATGACCAGGAAGCTATAAAAGCACGTGCGGCAGAGCCGGTGTCAGCTTTCTGTCATTCAGCGAAGCGCTCTGTGTGTGTCAGACATATTTATTGTTGTCTGTCAATTGTGAAAGT